ACCCTAAAGTATAGACAGTTACTCTGACATAGTGCTCATGGTGTTGGAGCACAATTATAATGTAGAAATGCATTCATGAGATGTCAAGTTTATAGATTTTTCTAGAGGGCTCTGAACAAGTTGCTGTTCTGCTGTCTCTGGTAAATTCAGTGACCCTGACAGTGTCAGAGCAATTGCCTCTATCTTAAGGCACCTTGGGCTGATCTATGTTAATGCAGTAAAAGCTCTGCCTCCCAAACATTCCTGTATCATGGTAATGTCCTTAATCACTTTCATTCAGTCAAGGCTCTCTCTCCTGAACAATTCCTATATTATGGTAATGCCCTTAAATACAGTCATTCTGTAAGAGCCTCCTCCCTAGGTTCCTGGAATATTTTTATGTTTTCAAGACTAGCCCATTTGTCAATGTATGATTCAATCTTTTTTTTTTTTGGTACTGCGGCTCAAACTCACGACTTCATGTTTACCAGGCAAGCACTTGAACTGCTGAGCTAAATCCCTAGTATTATATGATTCAATGTATGTAACCAATCATGTTACATGTGGTCACTTGCTTTGTATCTCCCACTTCTAAATTCTATATAGACTAAATTCCTTTCTGATTCAGGGCGGTTGTTTGGGAGGAATTATGCCCGCAGTAGTCCACTGGTGTGAACTCCCAACAGTCCACTGATGTAAAGATTAAATGCTGCCTTCTTATCTCCTCAGTGCAAAGAGTCTTCCTTTTGGTTTGGTTTGGCTTAGCTTGGGAAATTTTCTGCAACATTTCAAAGTACACAGCTGGGCTGTAGACACTATCAAGGTCAATCAAATTTAGCAGAAACAGAACAGTAATTTGGTCAGAGGCCTCTAACTGATCATGAAATATCTATAAATTTGCTCTTATATATGTGTCCCTACATTATAATTGTGCCCCAACACTATTGGATCAATATTGGCTAAGCATCTATTCTTGTAATCCTGCAGGTTGATTGTAGTTTGTACCCATGTTGTGACTCTGCTGTGTAAATTACCCCTGACAAAGGGCTTCCCTGACCATCTTGTTTGGGAACCCCTCTTGAAAATCCAACAGCTTTTCTTCTCTCCTTATTTCCAACAAAACTCTCCTAACTTCTTTTGCTTTGTGAGTTTATTTCTCAATGTTGTGGTGATATAGGGAAAATGTGACTCCCAACCTGTTAGATGTCAAGTTTGCTGATAGTCACACAATATGAAGGAAGAAATTTCACACTAAGGAAGAAGTTAAGAGAGTTTTATTGGAAACAAAGAGAGAAAAACTCTTGGATTTTCAGGAGGGGTCCCAAATGTGATGGCCACAGAAGCATCTTGTCAATGGTAATTTATACAATAGAGTCACAACATGGGTCAAACTACAATCAACCTATAGGATTACAAGTATAGCTGCCCAGCTAATATTGAACCAATAGGGAAACAGGTCATGTGGTTCATGGAAAGAAAAAAGGGGTATTGGGGAGGGATCAACACAGAGGCTCTGGTCACCTACCTGCCTGGGTGACTGATGCTTACTTTGACTTAGTGGTCTAGGTGGTACTAACTAAAATATATTATCAAGTTATTGTTTATCCCTTAAGGAGGAGTCTAGGCCACTGCATCTGTATCTTGGGCCTGGCCTTCTTCAGATGCTCCTCCAGCCACATTTCTGCTGTCTTTAATTTTTCTGCTGACTTCCTTGAGAGCCTGGGCCCTGACTCTGTATTTATTTCTATCTAGTGCAGTTGCCTATAATAGTGGGGCCAAAAAGTTGGCACATTTGACATCTAACTGGTTGATACATTTCTCCTATATCAATAGCAATAACTAACACTTATTTTTCCAACTTTCTTTCTTTATTAGTTTGCAGCACACAACCACACCCTTCCTGCAGAGTTGGTGCGTGTACACAACACCTCTCAATTCCCTCTGTATCCCCTTTCACCTCTTCCTCCATACTCCTTCCATTTCTTGAGCTTTTATTCTCTAGACTTCATGGTGTGCACTTCTGAGTTAGTTTATTTAGATTCCACAGCAACCCACTTAATAAATGAAAGGGTTTTGGCCCAGGCCGGACACTGTAGCTGGACAGCCGGAACCAAGGAGTTCCTATCTCCCCCACCCCTAGGGATTTACCTCTGGCACCAAACTAGTGCCAATGGGCTACCTGTGCATCCCTAATGCCCCTCAGGCACCACCCCTAACCTAAGCTACATGTATGCCTCCACTCCATATGTTCCACGGAGAGAGATCGCTGACCTGGGGTGGAGATGCTGCGCCCCAGGGGTTCGGGGGTGTCTCTCCCCATATTCTCAAAATAAAGGTCATTTATATTTCATACTTCTTATCTTTTCAGCCGCTGCCAGTCCCTCACAGTTCTATCAATAAATGGGGAAAATGAGGTATGCAGCAATTTAAGAACTCACTCAGGATTACAGAGTTCATAAGGTTTAAATATGAGATTCAAATCTATACTTGATAACAAAGTTCAGTTACTTCCTGACTATGCTTTAGAATAATTTGTTTTATTCACATACTTACAGACTTCTAAGTAAAAGAAATGAACTCGATTCTGGTTCAAAAATGAACTTGGTTCTAAGGTATTATGTAAATTTTTCTTAGAGGAGCATTACAGATGTTTTTTACTTTGGGAAATGTCTTGGAATTTGTAAAAATTTTATTTTGAGAGGAAGGGGAAATTTCTGCTTCATGTTGAGGTAGTATATAGGGAAATGAATTTCTCAACCTACTTATGTCTGGTACGAATTTATGTTCTCTAAAATCAAAGAATAAATTTTAGGAACAACAGAGGTTAAGAGCAGAATTTATTTACTGAGAGAAAGAAAGTTTCTGTCTGAGAGAGAGAGACAGAAAGGGTCTTGAGTGGGTTGCCAAAGACTGTCTTTTTGGTACTTTTAGAGAGCAAAACCGCAAGGTGAGATGAGCCTAAGGTGGGGAGAGGCATAGGAACTCGCAAGATGGGCAAAAGGTAGACAGAACTATGGTTAGTCAGTAAGATTAATTGCTCAGGTAAAACTGATTAAATTTGGGATAATTGGTAAGTGAGCCAGCAAGTGAGCTTGTTTAACAAGCAGTGACTCTTCCCGTAGGGGGTTGGGATATGGACTTCTGCTTGTCTCAGGGTGATACAGACCTATTTAGAATATCAGTCGTTAGGATGTAGGGAATTTGATCCTTTGTCTTGAGGCCTGGCCCACAGCTGGAGGTGTCTATCTCCCCACAACTGCAGGGTATCTACAAATTGGCCTTTTTACCTGGGAATATAGAGCACCTCTTTTTGTTGTAGGCATCTGTTAGTTAGAAATATTATAGGCAGTGAGACAGGGCTAGATCCTGGAAGGAGCCAGTGCAGATCCCCAGATACCTTGCAGCTGTGGGGGAGACAGACACCTCCTGCTGTGGGCCAGGCCCCAAGAAAAAGATCAAACAAATGCACCTATATCCTAAGGACTGATATTCTAAATAGTCCTCTATCACCTCGAGGAAGTCACCATCCCAACACCCTATGGGAAAGAGTCACTGTTCTCTAAAATGCCTGCTTTTTTCTACACCACGCCACTTGCCCATTTGTCCCCAATGTAATCAATTTTATCTGAGCACTTAATTTTATTGGTTAACCATAATTTTGTCCCATCTTATGCCCATCCGCCTTGCAAGTTCCTAGTGTTCCTCTGTAAGGCTGGTGTCGCAGGGAAGAAGACCCCAAGGACTCACGCCTCTAAGGGTAGAAGCTTTATTTCCATGCACATGGGGTCCATCCAGCAAACGAGTGTGGAGGACCCCGAAGGGCAGTTACACAGGGTTTTTAAAGGCATAAACCGCAAAGCAGGCGAGGTTACAGAAGCAGATCGCATTGGTTAGTTTTGAACAGCGCAGGGCTTGGCAGGAGCTGATTGGAGGGCCTCAGGGTTGGGTAACTTTGGTGTCTGGGGGTCGTAGCCCGGTCACTGTGTTCCCGGAACAGTTGCTTATCTTGCCTAACTTACTGAAACAGAACATCCTGCGGTTTTGACCAACGGATACTCCCTTCTTGTTTCGTACAGATAGCTCATAGCTCGGGGGTGGCAGCTGTAAAGTTAACTCTTTCATTCCCCCCTTTTCTTGTGAATGACCTTTAATCTTAAAGGTCTTGTATGGGCAGGGGGTCATACTGCTGGCGTATAGTATCTTGGGGTCCTCCTCCATCGGAAACATGTATGGGGGCTATCTGTTGCCAGCATACTTGTTGGCCAATTGTTTTCCCCCCACATGTTGTGAGATGGGTCTGGGTGCAGGTAGGGGGCAAAGCCGGCTGAGTGTTAGTGAGGGCAGCTGTAAAGTAGGTTGTACTGTCTACGGTACATTCTGAGTAGGCAGTATAGCAGGTGGAGTGTACCGACTCTTGGAAGGTGGTGCAGGGGCAAGGGGTAAGTTTGTCTTGGGGGAGTGGCCTAGGTTTAGAATAGCATACCCATTGATTGGAACCTGTGGTGGTCCATTCCCTTACGGCTAAGCTGGTGGTGCAGTCTACAATGGATACAGGGGATACCCTAGCTGAGGGGTAGGGCGAGGTCACATGGCCACCTTTGCAATCACAGGGGATGCCCAGAATTGACTGTCTGAGATCGCCTGTGCAGCCGGGGGATCCAACCCCCCCCCAGATGGATGTCACCCATATTAACAATTGTGCTAGGGCCCAAAGGGCTAATGTTTGGGGTTTTAGGCTTAACATCTTATAGGAGCCAACAGGATCAGAACAAGAACGACAAAAATATAAAATAGCTCTCGGGGGTTATTCTGCGCAGCTTTAGTTTTAGGGGGTTATCAGACCGTTTAAGTTCCCAGTGATCGCCCTCTGGCACCGAAGCTGGTTTTAGATGCGACGCGTGGATCCAAGAGGTGATGCCGTCGAGCTTTACCGCTGTGGGAGTGGTCAGTAGGACCTGGTATGGTCCTTTCCAGCGAGGTTGTAGGGTCTCTTGTTGATGGCGCCGAACGAGCACGAAGTCTCATACCTGGTATGGATGTGGTATGGGAGATTCGCTGGGGGCGTAGGCTGAGGCTAGCTGGGTCCACAAGTCCTTTTGTAGGTGGTCAAGGGCGACGAGCCTGTCAGACAAGGAGGATGGTAACAGGGTGGAATGTTCAGCCAAGGGAGTGAGATCCCGAATGGGGGGTGGAGTGCCAAAGAGGATCTCAAAGGGAGTGAGGTTAGGGGGTTTGGCTGACGGGGTGTTCCGCGCATGGAAAAGAGCATAAGGCAGGAGCATTGTCCAATCTTTTAAGCCAGTCTCATGAGCTAATTTAGTGAGGGTCTCCTTAATAGTTCTATTCATCCTTTCTACCTGTCCTGAACTTTGGGGTCTATAAGCACAATGTAACTTCCAATCAATCCCCAATATGTTGGCCAGTCCCTGACTAACCTTAGCCACAAACCCCGGCCCATTATCAGACCCTATTACCTTTGGTAGTCCGAACCGGGGAAAAATTTCTTCCATCAACTTCTTTGTGACTACGGCAGCAGTTTCCTTTTTGGTAGGAAAGGCCTCGACCCATCCAGAAAAGGTGTCCACAAAGACTAACAGATATTTAAGTCCATACCGGGCAGGTTTAACTTCGGTAAAGTCTACTTCCCAGTATTGTCCAGGCCTGGAACCGAGCAATCTTTTGCCTGGGACCAGCTTAGCAGGATAGGCATTAGTTAATTGACAAGCCTTGCAGTTAGTCACGACCCATGTGGCAGTGGGAGATAGCCCCGGGAAGTCTTGGCGTTGGGCCAACAGACATAGCTTTTTAACCCCCAGGTGGGTGAGCTGGTGGGCCTCTTGGATATAGGCAGTCAGGTCTGTTACCTCAGAGGTCTGGTTAATTTGAGCTTCCTCTTTAGGAGGAGGATTTTTGGTATCAGTCACCAACATCTCTAACATTTGTGAGCTACCCATAGCTGCAGATTTCGCTGCCTGGTCGGCCAGGTTGTTTCCTTTTATAATGGGATCAGTTCCTCTCTGGTGGCCGTTACAGTGTATTATTGCCACCTTCTGGGGTAACATGACTGCAGCCAGCAGTTGAAGAATCTCCTGTTTGTGTTTTATCTCCTTACCTGCAGAGGTCAGAAGTCCCCGCTGGCGGTATATGGCCCCATGGATGTGGGCTGTTGCAAAGGCATATCGGCTGTCCGTGTAGATGTTAGCCTGCTTTCCTGTGGCGAGCTCTAGAGCCTTAGTAAGAGCAATCAATTCAGCTTTTTGTGCTGAGGACCCATCCTCTAGTTTGGCTGTCCAGATAACATTGGAATGATCAGTCACGGCTGCCCCCGCATACTGCTTACCTTGGACCAAGAAGCTACTTCCCTCAGTGAAGTAGGTCACCTCAGCATCAGGCAAGGGGTAATCTAACAGGTCCGATCGCACCCCGGTTTCCTCTGCCAGGATATCTTGGCAGGTATGAAGAATTGGTTCTGGAGTTTCTTCTGATAGTAGGGTTGCCGGATTGAGGGTACCGGGGGCCCAAAGGTTATTTTGTCTTTATTGAGTAAGAGGCTTTGGTAATGTGTAATCCGGGCGTTTGAGAGCCATCTATTGGGAGGTTGGCGGATGACACTTTCTAGCGTGTGCGGGGCAATAATTGTTAATTTTTGTCCCAAAGTCAGTTTGTCAGCGTCCTTAGTGAGCAGGGCCGCTGCTGCGATGGCCTTTAAGCATGGTGGCCATCCATTTGCCATAGTATCTAGTCTCTTTGAGAGGTAAGCCACCGGTCGTTTCCATGGCCCAAAGGTCTGAGTTAGCACTCCTCTAGCTATTCCCTTTTTCTCTTCGATGAAGAGAGTGAAGGGTTTGTTTATATCAGGTAAAGCCAGGGCCGGGGCAGATAGGAGGGCTCGCTTGATGGCATCGAAGGCCTGTTGGTGATCCTTTTCCCAGATAAAGGGTTACCCTCCCTTAAGCAATGGGTAAAGGGGAGCTGCCAAGGATGCGAATCCTGGGATCCACAGCCAGCAAAACCCCGCCGTACCCAGAAATTCTCAAAGTTGTTTTTGGCTTTTGGGGGGAGGGATCTGGACCACAGTCTGTTTTCTAGGCTCAGTGAGCCATCTTTTTCCTTCCCTTAGGGTGTAACCCAGGAAGATTACCTCTCGTTTGCAGATCTGAGCCTTTTTTGCTGATGCTCTGTACCCCAGAGCGGCCAACTCACGTAGGAGATCTTGGGTCCCGTTGTTGCAGTCCTTCTCTGAATCAAGTAGAGTGAGGTCCGGGTGCTGAGCTCGGAATGGAGCTAGGTCTTTGTGGAGAGCCTCATCAAAGATAGTTGGGCTGTTCTTGAATCCCTGGGGGAGGCGCGTCCACGTCAACTGTCCATTTATTTTGGAGTCTGGGTCTGTCCATTCAAACGCAAACAGAGGTTGGCTGTCCTTATGGAGGGGCAAGCAGAAAAAGGCATCTTTCAAATCTAGGACAGTGTACCAGGTTCTGGATGGGTTTAAGCCACTGAGGAGATTATAGGGGTTTGGCACGGTGGGGTGGATGTCTTCCACCCTTTTGTTGACCTCTCTCAAGTCCTGTACTGGCCTGTAGTCATTGGTTCCTGGCTTCTTAACAGGGAGTAGTGGTGTATTCCATGCAGATTGACAAGGGGTTAATACCCCCTGATCTAAAAGTCTCTGTATATGTATCTTGATTCCTTGGTAGGCCTCTCTGCCAATGGGGTATTGTCTAACTCGGACGGGGGAGGCAGTGGCCTTTAGAGTGATCACTACAGGTGGCTGTTGGTTGGCTAGTCCCAATCCAGCCGTTTCAGCCCAAGAGTCTTTGAAATCAGCTAACCAAGCAGGAGGAACAGGTTGGAGACTCTGATCATTATAGAGCCTATATTCATCTTCCAACTTCAGAGTCAATATTGTGACTATGGGCTGTCCAACCTTCGGGTTGCGGAATGTCACCTGAGGTCCCTGGGGCTCAAAGGAAATCTTTGCCCCTAATTTAGTTAACAGGTCCCTTCCTAACAGGGGAGCAGGGCATTCTGGGATGACCAGGAAGGAATGTTTTACTTTTCCTTTTCCCAGGTCGACTGTGCATTCGGTGGTCCATGAGCGGTATCTGCTCCCGTTAGCCCCTTGAACTAGCGATTTCTTGGTTGAAAGGGCTCCCAAGGGGGCCTGAAGGGCAGAGTAAACAGCTCCTGTGTCAACCTCAAATTCCACGGGAGTCCCCTCTACCTTAAATGTTACCCTGAGCTCGGGGAGGGGAACCGAGCCCCGAAGTCCCTAATCCTCTTCATCTAAGGCGAGCATGGGGGCTCGCTGCCACTGTGAGGACTGCTTTTCTCGTTCCTCTTTGGCTCGCTTTCTTTTAAGTTTTTCACAGTCTTTGATCAGGTGTCCTTTCTCCTTGCAATATGCGCATTGATCAGGGTCTAATGGGGGGCGATTGGGCTTTCCCTTTCCTGTCTCAGGCTTACCCTGGATAACTGTGGCCAACACCTTTGTCAATTCCTTGTTTCGTCTTTTGTCTCTGGCTAACTCCTTTTCCTCTTCTGTCTCTCGTTTATAATAGACTTTTTCAGCCTCCTTAACGAGATCCCTCAGGGTTAGGTCTTGTAGACCATCTAGCCTTTGGAGCTTACGTCTTATATCAGGAGCCAATTGCCCTATGAAGGCCATGGCGATTGAGCCCTGTCGGCCTTCATCTTCAGGGTCAAAAGGCGTGTACCGTCGGTAAGCCTCCATCAGGTGTTCTAGAAAAACTGAGGGAGTCTCAGTGGGCCCTTGAGTTATTTCTCTTACCTTGGCCAAATTGGTAGGGCGCCTTGCGGGCGGCCAGAGACCCGCCATTAGAGTCTGGCGATAGATGGAAAGATGCTGCCTACCGTCAGGAGAGTTGGGGTCCCAGTCGGGGCGCTTTAGCGGGAAAAGATCGTCAATTCGATCGGGTCTCTGGGTGGGTCTGCCATCATCTCCTGGAACCTTTTTTCGGGCTTCGAGAAGGATTCGATCTCTTTCCTCGGTGGTGAACAGGACCCCCAATAGTTGTTGGCAGTCATCCCATGTGGGTTGGTGAGAGAACATGAGTGAGTCCATTAGGCCTGTTAACTTAGAGGGGTCATCGGAGAAAGAGGGGTTATTATTTTTCCAGTTGTATAAGTCTGAGGATGAGAATGGCCAGTATTGAAGGGCCGGCATTTCTCCCTCCGCTGTCCCATCACTTATAGTGGGCCCATAGGGACGGAGAGGGAGAGTGACGACCGGGTCCTCTGGCCGCTGTTTACTGCGGGTGTTCCAGGCTGGGCCCTCAGGCCCAGGGGGACCGGTCTCGGAGCAGGCCACAGAGGGAGGTGAGGAGTACGGAGAGAGAGTTGGAGCTGAGGGAAGGGAGACCTCCGACTCCGGCGGGGAGACGGGTGGTGGAGATGCATAAGGAGGAGGCAAGGCAGGTCAAGGAGGAGGGTGATCACAATCGAGCAGAGGGAGGTCAGGTTGGGAGTCGGGCAGGACCGGAGCAGGGGGCCCTTTCCGAGCCAGGAGTTTGGGTATGGAGGAGTCGGGTGGAGGAAGAAAGGGTTTTACCCATGGTGGGGGCTCCTCCCTGAGGTCCTGCCACACCAAGATGTAGGCGACCTGGTCGGGGTGGCCCTCTCGTCTGGGGCGGAAGACGATGTTCTTAACTGCTAAAATGAGGGGGAGGTGGAAAGTCCCCTCCGGTGGCCAACCCACGGAGAATGTGGGCCACTCAGACGAGCAGAAAGTCTGCCGTTTACCTTTTTTAACCTGTAAGGAGAGATTGTGAGCCCTCTCTCGAACCTCCGACCAATGGTCGAGGGTGAGGGACAATGGGGATGATGTCGTCTGCCCCATGGTGTTCTGAAGACAAAGAGTGGTTAGCGTATGCGTGACACAACAAATAACCAATCACAACAGCCACAACACACAGGACAAACAGGCCGGCCACCTCACTCTCACGCATTAGTCTCACACCAAACGAGTCACCTTAGGGGGTGCCTCCAGATTGGCCCGGACGGACCACAGATTGGGAATGAAATTCCCCAGACTGATAGGAAAACCCTATCGCAGACGGTAAGTCACGGAAAACCGTGTGGGGCGTCCCCTGATCACCAAGGAACAGAAATTGCCCCTGAAGTAGAGCCGGAGTTCAGCCTGGGGCGAAAAGAAACGGTGGATCAATCCAAAACGAAAGTAAAAATATGACTGGTCGTACTCACCCGAAGAGGGACGCTGAGCCGTTGAGATCATCTCCCGTGTGACGTATGATCTCGCTGGGGCCTCCAAATGTAAGGCCGGTGTCGCAGGGAAGAAGACCCCAAGGACTCACGCCTCTAAGGGTAGAAGCTTTATTTCCATGCGCATGGGGTCCGTCCAGCAAACGAGTGCGGTGGACCCCGAAGGGCAGTTACACAGGGTTTTTAAAGGCATAAACCGCAAAGCAGGCGAGGTTACAGAAGCAGATCGCATTGGTTAGTTTTGAACAGCGCAGGGCTTGGCAGGAGCTGATTGGAGGGCCTCAGGGTTGGGTAACTTTGGTGTCTGGGGGTCGTAGCCCGGTCACTGTGTTCCCAGAACAGTTGCTTATCTTGCCTAACTTACTGAAACAGAACATCCTGCGGTTTTGACCAACGGATACTCCCTTCTTGTTTCGTACAGATAGCTCATAGCTCGGGGGTGGCAGCTGTAAAGTTAACTCTTTCACCTCACCTTGGACCTGTCTCACTCCATGATTTTACTCTATAAAAGTCCCTAGAGGGCTGGGGATTTAGCTTAGCAGCGTAAATGTCTGCCTTGCAAGCGTGCAGTCTCCCTGGTACCAAAAAAAGAAAAAGTCCCTAGAAAAGACAAGAGTCCTTCGCAACCCACTTGCGACCCCTTCTGTCTCTCTCAGGCAAAACCTTTCTTTCTCCCAATAAATATATTCTACTCTTAACCTCCATTGTTCCTAAAATTCATTCTTCAATTTTAGAGAACACGAACTCATACTGGACATATAGAGGTCGGGAGTTTCATTCTGCTGTATCATTTTCACTTGGGAACTGGGCTTCCTCTCACAGACCGTATCTCAAATTTGAATACACGAAAATCTACTGTAAACTGGTTGTGGTGGCACATGCTCGTAATCCCAGCACTCAGGAAGCCGAGGCAGGAAGATTGTTGCAAGTTCAAGACCAACCTGGGGTACAAAGTGAGCTCAAGGCCTGCCTGAACTACACAGTGTGACCCTGTCTCAAAGAGACAAAAGAGAAAAAAAAAAGAAAGGAAAAAAAGGAAAAATCTACATTCCAACACAGCTGACCATACGGTAACCTGATGGACAGCAAGAATATACATCCAAGATCACTCAAGAAGACAGCCCTCCTTCGATCCTGCAAATATACCCAGATCTGGATCATGTAGCACCTCTCTGTCTTGAGGACCCACACTTAATTTCTTTGAGTTTGTACTTTTAAATTTCTGCCTAATTAATCCTTTTATGACTCTTACTGATGTATCTTAAAATGTTTTTCTTTTTTCTGTAATGGAATTTAGCAAACCTGCTACTCAATTCTTTTTTTAAATCGGTACCGGGGATCAAACTCATGACCACCTGCTTACAAGGCAGGTGCTTATGCCGCTGAGCTAAATCTCCAGCCCCTGTTACTCAATTCTTAAGGTAGGGTGAGTTTAGGAACCTCCTAGGATACAGGCAACAATACCATCTGCTTTGTTTTTATGGTATATAGTTTGGGCACAGAGTAGTATTAGAGCAAAATCTGTTAAGATTAGGAATGCTGATGCGATTAATATGTCATGATTTAACAGTGGCAGCGGCAAAGAACAATTAGTGAGTTAATGAATTAAATTTTATTTATATGTCTTCTGGGAAAGACTGTCAGATTAATTAACATTCTGGGCATTTGTTGACCATACTGTATGAACTAAACCTGGCTTTCCACAACAAGGATCAAGTACCAAAGTTCCACATTTACTCATCCATCACTCCTTTGACTCCTTAGGGATACTTTTTTAATGAGGATAAAAACCTATTACTTTAGACATTCTTGATAATAAAAATCAACCCAGGACCTTAATTAGTGAACTAGAAAATTATTTTTCTATACTCTGTCAAAGGCATAACTTGGTATTGATTGCTTTGAGAATATTCAATTATACTTTTGTTTCAGAAATATAAGAATTAGAAATTCTGTAGTCTCTCTGGAGAAACAGTTGATTTCAGCTTTTGGGCAGTAGAAGTACAAAATGAACTGGGACATTTTGTTCAGCAAGAAAGTCAGGGAAATGCTAAGAGATTTATGAGGATGTGTTAAAAGAATATTCAGGCCAACCTGAAGGTACTTGCATTGGCCAAATTGGGTTATTAATGCACATAACTCACATTCTTGCTCATTACTAAGGGAGAAGTTACTATTAAATTAGAAACATCTTTTTGGTCCCCTCTCCTACTGAGTGATCCAATCCTTATTATTAAGAACAGGATGATCTGATGTATTTCTGATGATGTGACAAAATACAGCACACACACCTTCATGCTGTTAGGCAGGTAGTTAGACATTAGTGGGCTTGATGGACAAAAGGGGTGACTCTAAAATAGCATGCATAGAGGTTAAATTAAAGAAAGACTTCAACGTATGGTGAATTTATAATCTTTTGTTAGATTTCAGACCTAAGATGATTCTGCAGACTACAATGATTTCTTCAGTTTGTACGCTGTGCACATGCCTTCTGCTATCTGGGTACCTGGCCATCAAACTCTAGAACAAGGCAGACAGCATACCTGACTGCCATCGCCTGTAACCCAAGGATATCAGGAAAGGGAGTGTATGATAAAGACCCTCCTGTCTTGGCCTGGTTTAATTTAATAACTTGGTGCTAATTTAAATGAATAACTATCTTTTCTAAGTTCTTACATGATGAATGCCTCTAAAGAAACACTGACCATCTAAAAAGATTGGAAAGATATTTTGCAGTTTCTAAACAGCTTCTAAGTAAAATACCAATAAACATAACTAAACTAGTTCCCTAGACCCAAAGAATAGCTCTTGGATGCATAAAAATGTATCTAAACTAGCACTCAGTGCAGATGCCCTTTTGATACTGTCCATCTTCTCTCTTAAAGTGTAATCCTTTGTACATCTGCTTACTTTACACTAAATTTTGCCTAGACTTCTGTACAACCTTCGTCAATTCACTGAATTCTCTTTCACCAAAGATATGAAGAACTGAGGGCCAGGAAAGCAAGGGGCTTGTTTTTAACTGCTTCAGCACCTGGCTTCCATGCACTGATGCCTGAAACATTTTTGCCAAAGGTCTTTAACTTGAACTTAACCAAGATTCTAATTATGATTTATTTTCTAGTTTATGGGAAAAAGAAATGGTAGCATGTAAATTTAATAATATCACTAGAAATTGTTCACAGAAATTCAGAATGCATGTCATTTTATAAGACAGTAGGCCTGTTTTTTCTAAAATGTATGTGTCACAAAAGAGATTTTAAAAGATTAGACATAAAAGAACAGCACTGCATGAACTTTGAATAGATCTACATTTCATTTCAATAAAAACTAAAAGATAAATTTTAGCTAACTTTGAGTGCTATTAAGGTATTGTAGCTAATTTTCTCCAGTGTAACATGGTGTTATTGGTATGAGAATGTTTTTTCTTTCTGCAGTATCTAGTCATGATAAGAAAGGTATTATCAGGGGCTGGGGGCTTAGCTCAGTGGCATAAGCACCTGCCTGGCAAGTGAGAGTTTGTGAGTTCAATCCCCAGTGAAATAAAAAATAAAATAAAAAAGGCATTGTCATGTCTCTGGATTATGTGCAATGGAATAGATAAATATGAGAAATTATCAATAATTATTGAATCAAAGTTTCCTGGCAAAAATATTTTTAAACATTTTGTGTTTAATGTGGCTGGAAATGTCAACCTTTGCAGAGATTTTAAGTAGAAGATCAGTAAAGAAGCAGTGTAATATAGTTTAAGACCTTAGATTGAATTTGAATCCTGGATTCCCTACTTTTTTTCTTTTCTTTTTTGACAAGCCATTCTTGCTTATTCACAAGCAGAAATAACCATGAAGTGTCACAATGCATTTGTAATGATTACAGAAACAGACAAAATAAATCATTCTTAAACTATAGAAATTCCTATCAAGGAACTTTATCAGAGTTAGACAAGAAAAAACTTTTACAACTATCAACCTAGTTTTATAAAGCTACTTTACAAATGTCATTTGATGCTAGTTACTCATATAACAGTGTTTTTCCATGAGTTTTTAATTTTGATTGACTTAAATTCTGAACCTCTTAATGGATATTGCTTTCTGTGATTTAAGAAACCTTTGGGTGCCCACTTATTACAAAGATATGCACTCATGTTTTCTACAAGGAAAAAAAAAGCTTTATACTTTTTAGCTATTACATTTAGGTATATGATCCAACTCAAATTCATTTTGGTGAGGTAGCGAGGTCATGGTTGATTTTTCCCAGTATGGATATTCAGCTACTTTATTCTGGCCCCACTTGTTGAAAGAATTTCCCTTCCCTGTTGGACTGCTTTGTCACTTTTGTTAAAAATCAAATGATCAGAAAAATATAAACCTTTTAGGTTCTCTCTTCTATTTTACTCTTTTATTTGATTACTAGATACTACTTTCTACAATAATCAAATAATTGCTTTATTTAAGCCTCAGTAAAATGGTAGAAATTAAATGAATGAGATCAACATGAGCCTGAGGTATTTTTGAAAATTGTATGACAGCTTTGCAATGCTCCATAATTATTACTGTATCAAGACCAAAATATGTTGACCCACAAGTTAACTGAAAAATTGCATATACTTCTTTATTACCTTCAACTGAAATTATATACAAAAAGTATTTCATTAATTTTTCTTCACAATTTTCTCCCAGGTTTTCTCTCATTGGTTCTAAATCATTTAATAAAATCACATTTAGTAAGTTTTTAAAACAATTCTTAAAAAGTCATGTGTTAAAGCTGAAAGGTGGATACACATTCTACCTAATGAAATAAATTACATTAGATTTATTTTACAATAAATAATAGGTGTTAAAAGGCCATGTATCAACTTTAAAAATGTGCTTGGTAAAGAAAAAAGTACTCTGGCCCTGAATCAAGGCTGGCAGCTTCCTGATGCTGTTGGTTTCAAGCAGGAGCCTAAAGAGATGTCTTTCTATGGTCTGTTGGCCATTTCAGAACTTGGGCAGTGAAATGGTCAGTTCATTA